CTATATACACGCACATTGCGATATCAATGCTGAACCGATATATTGTGCAGGCCTATTTCTTATTATGGAAGTCGATGCGTCTTAGTAAACATCATTCTAAATATCTTATTGTTTTCAACACAAGAAAGAAACTCATGAAGGTTTAAAGGAGTAATTGATAAGGTTATTTACATTTTTTGGGTAAACTTTCTCTTTAAGCAGCAGAAATAACATTTCCCGATTAATATACAGGCTAATGGGAGCAGTACAACACTCAATAAAAATAGGTTTGCTGTTTGTTCAACCTACTTATTTAAAATGAGCTGAAATAAAACAATCATTTCTTTTTTGAGCAAGATAACATAATTATTTTAATCCACACAAGTTTGTAAAAACTAATAGGTTAACTTAATTCCTTCTTGTAATCTCAACACAAATCGATTGTGTGGAACCCAGCATTTTTACAGTGTGTGGCACAGGTGTCAAATCCAGTTCCTGATGGCCGTAGCTCTGCACAGTTTAGTTCCAATCCTGCTTCAAAACAATTACCTGCAGGTTTCAAACAAAACTGAAAGACTCAATTAGTTTGATCAGGTGTGTTTAATAAGCGTTGGAAATAGCAGAGCAGCAGCCCTCCAGGAACTGGATTGGACACCTGTGCTGTATGGTGATTTGTATAAAAAATATAGTTATAATTAATGTAATAATAGAGATTCAACTCACCATTGCAAATAAAAACAAACAAAAAAAAAAAGAAAGCATTGCAATATAAATATAAATGCATTTGAATTTTTAAGTGCACATGTACTTTTTGCAATAATGTAAATTTCTTGACAATTGTGAGATTACCCATGATGTAAGAGAGGTTCACATATACACTGGTGTGCTTACTATAACTGGTAATACCGGAGGCCTTAAATGTTAAGACTAAAACAAAATCTTACTTAAAAAAAGAAAAGAAAAAAAAAAAGTCAAACAAACATAATCATGTTCCACTACTACACTTGATTTTGGTTTTATTGTAAAAAAAAATAATAATAAAAAAAATTTAAAAAAAATGCTAAATGTGAATCTATTTTATGGCATACTTTAAAAAAGATGACCTAGTATTCAACAATTTTTTAAATAAATTGGTCATACACTTCAAATTTTCAGATTTTTCATAGTATATGTATAAATTTCGGTATTTTTACCATAAACCAACATATCAACCATTTTGTAGAGGCTGATATTTTAGAAATGATGAGATGCGTTTAAAAAAAAATGCATTGGGTATGTTAACTAGCGACATTAGGTGTTAAGAAATGCAATCCAAAAGTGTGTTTTCTTGGTGGGAAAGTTAAAGGGTAAAAACAGCTTGCATAACTAATTTAACTCAGTTCAATTAGTTACAATTAACTAAAAACATATGTTGTCATGACTTACTGAACTGATCACATATTTTTTTACAGATCATCATTTGTGACTAGGCATGAGACGATAACCATTTTTTTTTTTTTTTTTAAGTTTACCAAGGTTTGGAAAAGTCAAGATTTTAAAAATCGCCAAAATTTTCTGCTATACCATTCCCATGGTACAGTATATGTAAGATTTTTTTTTATTCACACATTTTTAAATTTGTCATTTTAATCTGTGTTTTTGAAACAAATGAAGAGAGCAGAAGTTAATGATTCATTTTAAATATTAAGCCTGACATATTTACTGTTACAAAATATTATAAATGTTTCTCAAAATAAGATTTATTGCGTTTAAAGATGAAAAATTTTTTTTGTTTTTTTACCCAGACATTTAAAAGGAACATATTTTAAAGTTGTAATCACAATACTGTCAAACTGTGAAACCTTGACATTATCAAGCCTGTGTAACTCATAAAATTAAGTTTGAACTTATTGAATTTAGTCTAATAAGTTACAATTAACTAAAAACATGTTGTCATGACAGATTGATCCCATAACTTGTATGGTGTAAAAGTCACTATTTGTGACTAGGCATGAGACGATAACAGTTTTCAAGTTTGACAGCGGTTTGAAAATTTTTGCTATACCATACCTACGGTATATCTACGATTTTTTTTTTTTTTTTAGGACAACAGAATCTCCAAAGCAGTAAATATATCCAAAGATGCCGTTTTAAATTATAATGAAATCTGTGTTTTTAAATTAACGAAGGCAGCAGAAGTCAATGCTCTAAAATATTTTAAATGTTTCTCAAAATAAGATATATTGCAATCAAAGGTGAAAAAATTTTGTCTTTTAAATGTCTTTCACCCAGAAATTAAAGAAGAACTTATTTTAGAGCAGCAACAGAGCCAAATACCATCAAAAATTATTTAAGGTTATCACAGGGAATCATGCCTATTTTTGACAAGCTCATTCAGATAAAAAAATAAATAAAAATAAAAAAAAATGACAGACAGAGGTGGAATAGTTTAGGTTGGGAAAAAAGGCCATCATGTACTATATAATAGATTTAAACCAGACTGAACTAAACTAAACTGAACTTCAACTATGAAATCTGGACTTTACTAGAACTATGTTAAGCTGCATTGACACAATCTACATTGTAAAAAGCGCTATATAAATAAACATTCATTGAATTGAATAATACTTCCACACACACATACCCACACATGATGCTTAAAGATCTTTCTGCAAGAAAATAAAACAAAACGAATGAATAGTCCAAATCATTTACAACCGGATAAAAGGATTATGCAGATTCAGAAACTTGCAAAACGAGTTCCACAATCCCCAGTGCGCTGTAAAATCACTATAGAAGATATTATAACTGTACATCACGGTTTGGATACACAAATAACTAATACTTATCAGGCTGTACACAAAAATTAATAGAACAACTCGACTTTTTTTACATTTCTACTCAAGTATTTGACATTCACAATTTAATGTGCTGCTTTCCATGTCTTTGTAAGTGATTCTGAACTTTTCTAACTATTTTTTTTATGTGTAAATGGTTTCAACCTTTTCTTCCAGTGTACATTTGCTTTCCACAGGAGCAAAACTCTCCAAAACAGACCTTAAACCCTCTCTACTCTCGAATAATGTTTAGGAAAAGGATAAGAGGTTTGGGGTCAACAGATGAGATGAGCAAAAGCAGATGTTCATAATGACAGGAGCACAAGACATTACAGACATGTATAAGCACTGAGTTCAGTTACAGTATACATTCATCAGTGGATTAGGAAGAAGGAGGACATGTTCCAGTGAGATGAACAAAAATGAAAGACATGTGTCCTATAAACAGCTATAGAGGTTTTGCACTTGACAAAGCAAAAGCAATTAGCCGGACAGGATTTGAGTCCAGCACAACTACTCAGACTTAAGAGAAAGAGATGAAAAGAGTGAGAGAAACTCATTTTCACCTGTCAGAAATGCAGTCCTTATTTCACACCTGTATCCAAAAACGGGTTGGACTCATACACTAAAAAGAAAGTTCAGCCATTATGTGCACACAAGTCTAATCATGACGCTTAATTAGTGAAAATAGATTCAATTCGAAGCATGTGGCTGTAGACCTTGATATAAATAGATTTTAATACCGGAACCAACTGGGGAAAAGGTCAACAGAGCAACTTCGGAAGACTTGGCTATGAGTTAAAAAAAAAAGCCACTTCTCATAGGTCACAAACATCACACTTTAATTTATGAGCCACCTTTAACAGAGCGTTATGAGATATCGGTCACAAAGATGTAAACAAGAAGGTTCGATCACAACTAACCAAGAAAGCAAACAAAATGACGATTCAAATGTAACCACCATAGATTAAAGGGATAGTTCACCCTAAACCCAACCACCAAAAAATGAATATTCCGTCGTTAGTTATATTCCCTTCACTTGTTTCAAACCTGCTTGAGTTTCTTATTGAGGTAAAGTTAGTTTTATATTCAGACGTTCTCCTTAATAATATAATTTCAGAAAGGTATTTTTTGAATATTCTATATAGTAAAACCATATTAGCAGCCAATACAACATTGTTTAGTCAAATATATAGTGCTAATGTTGTTTTCATGTCATACTTGAATGTGATTTCAGACCGAATACACAAGGTAAACAATATAGGGAGCGAGTCACAAATTGTCACTGAACGGATGTGTGAATATAAAACCAACTTTACCTCATTAAGTTTCTTCTGTTGAACACAAAAGATGATATTTTGAAGAATTTTGGATTCCATTGACTTCCATAGTTTAAAATAAATAAAAAAAATTAAAAAAAAACTATTAAGTCAATGTTCACAGGTTTCCAGCATTTCGTAAAGTATCTTCATTTGTATTTAACACACAAAAAATCAAGATGGTTTAGAATAAGTCAATAGAGAGTAAATGAGAGAGATTTTTGGGTAAACTATCCCTTTAAGGTTCCAAAAGTGAGATTTTTACAGAGATTCCATAGAGAAGCAGTCAATCAATCCAGGGTCTGAAGAACATTTCAAAAATATACACAACCTTTAAAAATCCACTATAAAGAGCCTTTGTGGAATGAAAAGGTTTCATAGATGTTAAAGGTTCTTCATGAAATGCATCTTGAACAGCTTAAGACTCCTTTAAAAATCCTCAAAACTCAATACAACCTCTCAAGAACCAAGCAAAAAATCTCTTGACAGAAAACGTAACGTAGGTTCCTTGTATGAAAACGTGCAGATCAATCAAAGCCCAACCAAACTAACAAGCAAACATCTCAGAAGAAATTGGTTCTTTGGACAACAGTAGATTCGCTTCCAAAATAAACCGTTAACATCGATTATAACGTTATGTGGTGCTTTGGGAAACCTCAGCAGGCCTCTTTAATAGTTTGAGGAGCAGTTGAAGGCATACGGTGCACAAACACAAACACGCCAAGCAGCAGAAGCAGCGTTGCGTTGAACAGCTGTTCAGTGTTTTGCAGCTCAAGCGCTTCAGTGGCGCATTTGAATGCATGACAGAACGCAAGAGGAGCATTTCATTTCCACACATGATGCGTTTGCTTTAGCGTAAACACGCGCTTCCAGCCGTGGGTCTTACCTTTGGAATTGCTGAATGCGGTGTACCAGGATAACGATATAAGCCCACATAACCCGAAGAGTAAGACTGTTAGGAAGGTGCCATTTCTGAGCCTCATCTCCGGGTCCGCGCCGGTATCATGTCCGAACCGAACCGTGTGCTCGAGCGCGTCTGGCGTGCGCTGCTGATGCGGTGCGTGCGTGCGTGCGTTAATGACAGCGCGCGCACATGAGATGATGAGAGGGAGGGCGAGAATGCGAGATCCTGTGTACAGACAGATGTCGTTTATAAGGAGGGTGTGTGTGAGCGTGTTTGAGAGAGAGAAAGAGAGAGAGAGAGTGTTTTGGGTGAACGCTGGACTCGTGCAGAGGTGCAGTTGCTCCTCCGTGCGGTCAAAAGAGAAACACACATATTCTGTTTTAAAACAATTGGTGTTTTGGATTGGATTTATGTTTTCTTATATTTTAATTAATGTCTCAAAAACTACGGTTTGACATTGTTTATCTCCTCATTATTGTATTGGATTTACTGTTTTATTAACAAATATTTATGTCAGTCACATTGTTTTATTTCATTATCTGTTTGTTTTATCATAAAATATATTTAAACCCCACTTTTTATTTGTTTGTTTTAATTTTGCTTCTTCATTTTCATTTATGAATATTTAAACAAATTTCATTTAATTATGTTTATAAAATGTTTGATTGCATTATGTATGAATTATTAAAATTCATTCATACATTTTCATTCGGCTTAGTCCTTTTATTTGCCACAATGGAATGAATCACCAACTTATCCAGCATATGTTTTACATAGCGGATGCCCTTCCAGCTGCAATCCAGTATTGGAAAACATCCATACACTTATTCACACATATACACTACAGCCAGTTTAGTTTATCTAATTCACCTGTACCGCATGTCTTTGTACGATGGGGGAAACCAGAGCACTTGCAGGAAACACACACGAACATGGGGAGAACATATAAACTCCCCACAGAAATGCCAACTGACCCAGCTGGGACTCGAACCAGCTACCTTCCTGCTGTAAGTGCTAATCACTGAGTCACCATGTCGCCTCAAATATTAACATTTTTATACATTATATATATATACATATATATATATATATATATATATATATATATATATATATATATATATATATATATTACATATGAATAGGCCTATATATTATATTTATGACTTTAAAGGAGACCTATTATGCCCCTTTTTGCAAGATGTAAAATAAGTCCCTGATGTCTCTAGAATGTGTATGTGAAGTTTCAGCTCAAAATATGCCACAAATAATGTTTTATAACTTAGCTTAGGTAGCCTTGGTTCTAAATTGTGCCATTTTGGTGAGTTTCACTTTAAATTTAAATGAGATTGTGCTCCCGCCCCTCTTTTCAGAAGAGGGCAGAGCCACAAATGACAGTATTGTGTCAGGACAGAGGCAGATTTAAACACAAGACCAACGTTCTTTCAGTGCACTGAAACATTCAGGCCCTAAATGACATGAACTATAAACACATTTTTCACAAAAAAAAAAACCTTACACTCACTGGCCACTTAATATAATATAATATTAGGTACTTACTTGTACCAGGCTGAACCTGCTTTTGCCTTCAGAACTTCCTCAATACTGCATGGCATAAATTTAACAGGGTGCTGGAAAAATTCCTCAGATATTTTGGTACATGATAGCATTATGCAGTTGCTGCAGATTTGTTGGCTGCACATCCATGATGTGAATTTTCCATTCCATCACATCACATAGATGCTTTATTGGAAGAGTTCTGGTGACTGTGGAGGCCATTTGAGTACAGTGAACTCCTTGTCATGTACAAAAAAACAGTCTGAGATAATTTGCACATTATGACATGGTGCATTATCCTGCAGGATGTAGCCATCAGAAAATGTGTACACTGGGGTCATAAAGAGATGGACATGGTCAGCATCAATACTCAGTTATGCTGTGGTGTTGAGTACCAAATTATTTAGTGATTTAGTAATACCTGTTTAAAATAAATAAAAATTAATATATGAAAAATTCAGCTGTTCTTTTGGTCTCCTGTCACTCTCAGTGTCTCAATGTGTAGTGAACAAAACACATTACTGTACTTATCAATGCCAAAATTGATCCACTGGTCCACAATCTTGTGAGCTAGGAAACTAATTGAGATGTACTCTTTGGGTTTGGTTGCTAGGGTGCTTTAAATGGTCGCTAAGGAGTGGCTTGAGAGCATTGTGATGATCCAAAGGGCCTTACTGGTTGTGTGAGTCAAGTGAGCCCACCCCTTATCTCTATGCAATGTGAAAATCAGGGAACTTATGATAATTGATGCTCCCTGATTTTCACAGTGCATTGTGGGACTCAGGGAGTAAATGTTTAAGTAAATTTACAAAAAATAATTTTGTGATTGAGACTGCCCTTAAATGCAGTGATGTTAGTGACTTGATAATGTCAGTATAGGGCAGGGGTGCTCAACCCTGTTCCTGAAGATTTCTCAACCTTTCTGCAGATTTCAGTTGCTACCCATTTAAAACACACCTGCCTGTAATTATCAAGCGCTATTCAGGTACTAATTAATTGGTTCAGGTGTGTTTGATCAGGGTGAGAGCTGAGCTTTGCAGAAAGGTAGATCTCCAGGAACATGGTTGATCAACCCTGGTGTAGGGGATCTATTTACTTTACTGAGCTGGCCCTTGACCACTTCTATCACAATAGGGGCAAATATGGACCGCTCTTGGGCCCCATATAGGTACAACTCTTATTCCATTGTGGGATGTCAATAAAGGGATTATTTTACAGTTTATATTAAGTTTAGGTTTACAGTTAAGGTTAGGTTTAGGGGTACGGGTAGGCAGAGGGAGCAAAATCCCCACAATCTAATCCAGATCGCTGGTAAAAACACAGATCGCTAAAGAACTACAAATCCACCGTTACGTGGACCACAGATCCATTCATGCACCACACACTCACACTTGTTCCGGTTGTCCACTGATTGCAAACACACTCAGAACTAATTACATGGACTTTAAAAGCAGCACAGACACACACACACTAGTTGCTGAGTCTTGTTATCCTGTTTTATGAACATTACAACACATTTTCCTTGCCTTGCCTTGTCAGTGTCCCATCACATTACAGAAATTATGTTCCAGGATCAACACAGATTATGTTTTTAGTAAAAAAATAAAATAGATAGATAGACAGACAGACAGACAACAGACAGACAGACCGACAGACCGACAGACAGACAGACAGACAGACAGACAGACAGACAGACAGACAGACAGACAGACAGACAGACAGACAGACAGATAGATAGAGAGATAGATAGATAGATAGATAGATAGATAGATAGATAGATAGATAGATAGATAGATAGATAGATAGATAGATAGATAGATAGATAGATAGATAGATAGATAGATAGATAGATAGATAGATAGATAGATAGATTCATATTAAATTGTTAATATCAGATGTTAATATTTAAATATAATTAATTAATGTGTTAATTGTTAGGTCCTGTCTTCCATGTGTTTTTGTTTTCATCATGTGACCATTCCCATGTGCTCATTTGTTCCAGATCCCGCCACTAGTTAATGTTCATCTGTTCCACCTGTGTTCATCCCCCGTGTTTCATCAGTGCCATTATGTTCCTGTGTTTTTTATACCCCTTCGTTTGGTTGAGTCATTGTCCGGAATTTTTGTTTAATGCTTGTTTTCACCCCATGTCCTTACTGTGTTCATCCATAGAAGTGATTAGTTCAGAAATCTACGTATTTGCTAATCCTGCGATCCTGTGCCTTCCTGTAGTGAAGTTTTTGACAGTTTTTGGGCAATTTTAATCCAGACTCCTTAGAAAAGTTTTCTTCAAAAACCGATTAAGGGTGTTTTGCAAAATGTGCTAGACTGTCAATTTTGTCCAGAATCATTCATTTATTTTTATTTACCTTTATTAATTTTCGTCCTGAATAATATTAATAATAATAATATTAATAATAATTATAATAAAACTCACTAATAATATCACAGCCTTTAAGAAACAGCTTATGTTAATTATAAGTAAGGAGCTCAGTGACAACATGACCACCAGTGCTGGTTAAAGTTACTTTTAAAAATAATACTACAGTCTCAGGCCTAAAGCTTTAAAATATTGTTAAAAAGCATACTTTAACATTACTTTCATCTTTAAACTAGTAACACAATAGTTACTTTTTAAGATTGTAACATAATACTTAATAAGTAACTTTACCCAGCACTGAACATGACCTAAATCCTATTAATGAATAACAAAACCAGAATCACCACAACACTTTAACCTGTAAACAGTATCATGTCACTGGTATTTATTAATCATAAATCTACATTCTGTAGAAATAATCTTTATGTTCAAGTAATACACAGCATTCATGTGGTGCTCTTGATTTCTGTTCTTCAGTTGATTTCTGCACTGTTAAATACTTCCAAAGAAATAAGAAGTGATCGACAGTTAAAAATGTATTTGTTTATGACAGGATCAGTTAATATCCAGTTATGCTGCACTGGTGTACATAATTAATGGCGTCTGTGTGATGTTTCAGCCTGTCATCGTTTCATTTAAAGCTCTGGAGATGAATCAAGCTCTGATTGCCCTGTTTCATCACTTCTAGGGCTTTGACTGTTGAAGCTCTGCCAAATATCTGATGTTTAAATTGCCTGCTTATTTTTGTAGAGTATTGTGCCAATGCACACTGTGCTCATTAACACAAAAAGTATTTTCTATGACAGATGCACCTACACTGGCTGTCTCTAATTATTAGCTGTTTTTTGCATACAGCACTGCCAACTGCGGTTCTCAGACTGCAAAGTGAAAGCCTTTGGAGGAGCTCCAGGCACATTTTTACAAGGGCTTTTCCAGAAGGAACCTGCAAAATCAGCCCAAAGTTTTTGAAGCAATCAAAGACTTCTGCGGTAAACACATCATACAGGAAAAACATCGGAGACACTTGAAATACAGATTGAAGTTCCTTGAGGACACAAAAAGCCCAATCAGGCCATGTCAGAGTCAAAAAACAGATAATATCTTGACATAAAAATTAGCAGAGTACAGTTAATGTTACAGTTTTTATTCATTGATTGATTGATTGCTTGATTGACTAGCTGTAAACTGTCTTATATAAACCGTTAACATTTTGTTTGTAAACTGCACAGTAGCTGTAATATGAATTGTATTTTACTGTAAGACAGTTAT